CATACATACATATATACATACATACATATATATATACATATATATACGCGCACGAATTTTTATTAATTATTGTCGTTGGATTAAGCGACATGCCGCACACGTCCGCCTATCTATCGCGCCGTCTTCAATGCGAACGTTAGCTGGCACTGCAAACACTTGCATACATATGTATATACTATAAATGATTATAGCTAGGCACAAGGTGCGACGCCACTCGTCGGCGCATTGATTGAGCTGAGTATGCGCGATTTTTGCACAATCTATAAACATACCACGAAACATATGCACATTCAGTTGTATACATACATATACATATATATGAATATGTATCTACACATTTATAGCAACATTTTTCGTGAATTTCTTTGTTAGCGTTTAAGGCAGCTGTAAGCGTTGATTGCTTTTATTTGTCATCTCAATTGCTGACTTTTCTCATTTAATTTTTTTTATTTCTTATTAATTTTTTTTTTTTTTTTTACAATCGCTTCTCAACTCATCCACACTCTCTGTGTGACGCCTACTACATGCATAACTACATACATCCATTCTTAACGCGTTCATACTTACATACATATGTATGTATGTACATACATACAATACAGATCTTACGAAGCATTTTTCTTCTGTGCATATCCGCTCTCTATTCACGACAGACACAAATGCAATTACAGATATAAATGTTTGTGTATATTTATGCATATATGTCGCTATGTATATATGTACATACATACAGTCATATGTGGACACGACTAGTAGTAGATACAGATTCCGTGTGATGGCTCATGACATTTGTTCTGTATCTACAATGAATGCGAATATCTGTGGAAACGATTTAATACGTACAGATACATGTTACATATGTATGTATGTATGTATGTATGAGCATACACAAGTAGCGTTGGCGAGTAAGAAATATTGAAAAGCAATCGATGGTAGATATATTTTTTATGACGCAAATTTCTGTACGCCCGTTTCGTGGGGTACATGCTATACATATATACATACATATACTTACATACATACAACTGTACTCTGTTGTCTGCTGAGCTGAGCCGACACATTGTAATTGCTCAGGGCCAGTAGAGACTTGTGCAAATGTCTACATACATATATATATATATATATATAACTCATCTTCAACTGCACTGATTAAATATATCCTCAGCTAAAAAATTGTTGATTTTGAATTTAAATACCAGTGATTACACATCCATACATACATACATTACACTCATTGTGTAAGGATTTTTTTATAATTTTTATTTTATTAACTCATTTTCTACAATGTAATGAGGAGTAGTCAAGGTAGTGAAATTTCCTTATTTTGCGTCCACGTCGCGCACCCTGAGACAACACTTGTTACCAACCCGTCTAGAGTCTTAGGTCACGGCTAAAAGGGAAAGAGTTTCAGTGGAGCAACCTCGACTTATTTTGTTTAATAGTTCGCTGAACTCTCACTGTACCTCTGTTCACCAGGGGTGCGGCTGCTGGCGGGCGTTGGTCATGAAGCAAACGGCTAGCGACGTTGTATGCTGCGTTTAGGACGCGCCATGTAGAAGCCAACACCTTCCTTTTGCGAACGTATTAGGAATTACGATTTGAGGGAAAGCACCTAGATTGTCCGGTCTCTTGATTGGGAAGGTGCCGTTGTCCAGCTGGTTGATGACCTCGCTAAATCAAAGACTGACATCACCACCGTCCAAGAAGTGCAATGGACGGAGCTTAGTAAGATTTATTAAAGCGGCCATTTAAAAGGAGCGCAAATTTGGTGATGGATTCGTGGTGGGGGAGAGACTTCGTCGCTGAGTACAGGCATTAACCTCAGTGAATGAACATCTCGTCACAATCCGTCCCGACGGAAGAGAAATGCGATGGGACTAAAAATACCTATTATGAGCGCCTGGAAAATACTCAGAAGCGCTGCCCCCACCGCAATGTGAAAATCGTACTTGGCGACTTAAGCGCCAGAGTCTGCGAAGAAAGTAGTTTTGGCACAACAGTGGATAAATTTGGATGAATATTTCTTCCTCCTCATTGTGCTTGCAGATACTATATCAGCTCCTCAAAGGAACTGCCAGCCTCGTTACGGTGGCTTATAACCTATAAACTTAGTGATGCCCCCTCTTTTGAGAGAACACCTTGCGTGTGACATAATGATCTTCCGTTGCGGACACGTTTATCTAAACGCGCAACAAGTTGCATGTATTTTTTGTTTGTTTTTTTTTTTGGCGTAAAAAATGTGTTTGATCGTTTGCTGTACAGTTTTCCTTCTAGGTCCCTGTGGGCAACTGAGACATGATCTCTGCTGTCTGACCATCTCTTTTAGAGATCGGCGACAGTTATTAGAACAAGGTTAGACCACAAACATCGTTAGTAACTCGCCGAAAGCTCCGAGAGCTTGGTTGGGAGGTTCTTATGCATCCACCTTATAGTGAAGAATAAGCCTCAAGAGAGGCCTGCGAAAATTGGCTGCCCCAATTTTGTGACAATAGGAATAAGGGTTTCTATGAGAGAGCCAGAGTAAAACGGCGCATATTTGAGGTGAATCGGATAATCCTAAATATAGTCTTAAATTTAACAGATTTCTTTTTACTGGACCAATATAAGTATTTAGCGTTTTGTAACCAAACTGAAATGATTTTCGCACGAGCTCTTTCTCCGATTTGTAATGTGCATCTTGATGTCTATTCAAACCCGTCTCCGATTGGCTGATGGAGATCTTAAAAGAAGATTTTATTTCCTGACAGAAATACGCTCGGAGAGCTTGACATCCCCTGCCGAGGAACGAAAGCAAGTGAAAAAATTAATATTTTTCCTGCCCTTCCAAATGTGTTCCCAATCAGTTACCTTGGGAGGTGTGTTATCCGGTGTTATCGGTGCGATGGCCAAAAATGAGCATGATCTGTCAAAACAAGTTCGTTTGCAGCAGCTGTTGAAATCAGTCGACCTCAGTTCGATCTGCGAATTTTTTTTTTTTGCGGTCTCAATTGAGTCGAAACGAGTTCCACAGAGTGATAGCTTGAGTTTTCCACACAAAAGAAATCGCATGGGACCAAATCCGTTGAATACGGTGGTTGATCGATGGTATTGCACTTTTTTTCATGACCGAAATACACTCGATGGGGTGGACATTCCCTGCCGAGGGGCAACCGCAATTAGAAAATTTAAATTAATCTTTTATTTAAATTAATTTTCTATAACTTTTGGATGTTGTTGGCAATGGGATTTAAGCCCGAGCCTTCCGAATGTCAGTATGCAATGCTAATCACTAGGCTATCGCGGCCGCCAGGTATAGGAAATATACATATATATATGTACATATATATATATTGCGTTTTCGTAGCGTTTTTCTTCGGGGAATTCCCATTTAAACGTATGTATATATATATATATATACAAAACATACATCTATATATAATATCTGTCAATTATTACCACTAACTCCACTGGCAAAGGTAAAATAACACTATCCGTATCAAGTGCAGCCTTTGGCTGATCTTAGCCGAGCCTCAGTCTTTTTTTCATTTGATGGTCTTTGCCTTCTATCCGCCCACTTGTAATCTTCACGTCCGACGACTACCTACCTACTTTCATATTTACTTACATCTTCTCTGAAGGTTTGTGTTGTTCATATACTTTTATGTATGTACATATATCTGTATGTGCATGTGTGTGTGTGTGTTGGATCAGTGTGCGCGCGCTCGTGCAATCAAGCGACCATCCGTTTGTCCAGTCAGTCATCCATCTTTCCATTCAAACATCGATAAATTCACTCGTTCCATTTCGCAGTCATTTCAAGCGCATATGCGTGTTTTTGATGAAAATTGTGTGAATGTGTTATTTGTGAATTCCTGGTATGTACAAGTAGATACTTATATGTATATGTATGCATATACATATATACTGATTTACTCGTACGGCTGCTTGTATTCTTATAGGCAAAATGTATTGTAGAAAATGCGTAAAGTCACTTCACCTCGTTGGCTCTGACTGTAGCTAGAGCTCGTTGACTGTGGCTGCGGCTGTGGCTGTGTCTGCGGCTGTTACTCTGGACTCCAGCTCTGGCCGTAGCTGTTGTGGCTCTGCCAACGGCGTTCGCATAGTGTTGGTGGTGGCAGCGCTACAACAATGCCGATTGTAAGATACAAGATACAAGCAGCTAAACGGCCTGAACTGAGTGTGCTGAGTGAGTGCGGCGGCATACACAAAATGTATCTGCAAGTAATGCTTACAAATGTACTTAACCATTTACATACATACATACATATATCCATACAAACATAAGTATGCATGTACGTTTGACTTTGCGTTAAGTTGCGTACTCTTCGGTGTGCTTGTGGAAATGCTTGGCTGTCGCTGTTGATTGAACCAACGAGTCCGTCAGTCAGTTCGTCATTTGGCCGGTTAGCTCGTCAGCTCGACAGCTCGGCAGATTGCCGTTGCTTCGTTCGTTTGTTCATTCATTCAATGTACATATGTATGCATACATATATATGTACATATCTCCCTGCTCCCCTCCCTCAACGAAATCATTTGTACACATCTGTTGGCTGACAGCTTGGGTTGTTTAATAGTTTAGTGCTTTTTGTTGTTGCCGAACCTCAAGTCAACCAAATGTAGAGAGACAAACAGACATACATATGTAGATACTTACATATATAAATACAAACAGACAACACCAACAGCCAGTTAGTTAAATACACACTCACGTATTACAACAACCACAGCAGAGCCAGTCCGTCAGACAGCCAGCAATTCGAGGCAAAACGAGCGAGAACGAAACGTATGTTTGTGCATATGTATATATGTATTTTGATATGCGATGCAACAACAACAATTATAACAAAAGTAATAACAATGTGGAAAAAACAAACAGCAACAACAACAATGAAAAAAAAAAATATCGACTACAAATAAAACTACCCAAAACGATACACCGACCGAAACGCCGAGTTAACTGAGTCTGAGTACCAGTGCCACCGGCAGTCGCAGTCGCAATGGCAGTGGCTATAGAGCGCGAATGCTGCTGCCAACGAGACAGGGGCAGCGCCTGAGACGATACCAACCGATCCAACAACAATATGACCACGATATGATGACGATGGCTTTGGCTATGGCAATAGCGACGATGACGACGACAACGACAACGACAACGACAACGACAACGACGACGTCGACGACTACAACGCCAACAGCAACGGCGACTACGATTATGGACGGGCGGCAATTGCTCGCGACGCTGTCTACCACCCGTTTAGGTATCCGATAGATACGGCGTTGCGCTGACGTATCGGCGGACGCGTTCCGTGTAAAATTCGCCGCTGCCATAGTGAAAATTTATAAAAAATACATTTTTAATGGGAAAAATGCACAAATAATTATAAAAATTATAAAATAATTGTGAAATAATATTAGGCCAATGTGAAAAGTATGAAATAAATGTGAAAAAACATTTGAAAAAGGTCAGAAAATAAACAAATTTGCACAGAGCAAAGGAAGTGCCGCCGTCGCCGAATGGTGAATTTTGTATTGAATTGAATTGAAGCGAGAAGGTGCTGTGAAAAAATCTATAAGCATAGTGAAGAAGAGCATATACAAGCGAGTGAAAGCCAACAGGAAAACGGAAAAAATTTCATACATACATATGTACATATATGTAGGTACGCGTACACACATATTATATATAAAAATGCATATATAATTTATATGTATCTACTATACACATATTTCTATATGTTTGGAGTTGGTAGAGAAAAATTGTGTGGCAAATGCAAAAGAAGCAGCAGGCAACAATCTATATATATACATACATACATTCGTACATATGTATGTACATATGTATATGCATAGCTAGCTAATGTGGAGTCACAGTGGTAGAATAAAAACGCGAGTGGAAATCGTTGGCAATTGAGCGATTAGTTTGGTAGTTGTATTGTGTTTTGTGTATTTCCACGGCGGCGAAGAAAAGTATAAGAAATAATTTTGTTGGAGTACATAATTTTGTATTGGAAGTACCAGCAGAAGTGACTTGAAAGTGACTAAAAAGGTGTTGTTAGTATGTACATGCATACATATAATATCTTGTTACTGGTTCGTCGGGAATGGAGGTGCAAAATTTTTTGAAGGGAGATGCTTAAACAATAAAAAATATAACCATACCAACGGTAACCGGACGATTTTCATATATACATATATGTTGTACATATACGTATAAATACAAACTTATGTACATACATTCGTACGTAGCATGTATATATGTATATATATATATATATGTTTGTATAAAGACTGATATTAGCGGTGCTTCTGTTTAGTTAATGAGCATCACAAACATTCATTTATACAAATCTTTGTTTGCATGTATTTTTAATGAAGCGAATACCTACGTACCTACCTATCATGTACATACATATGCATAAACGCCTGTTTATTCATACATACATACATATATAATATGTATATGGAGACATCGGCCAGGCAAACCAAATTGCCGCAGCTAAAAGCGAAAAGGTTAATTACCCGTTGCCAAATAAAATTAAAATATTATAACAAACAACAAAAAATTAACAAAATTGGAATTAAGTAATTTTCAGTTACTAGTGTATATTGAGCTTGCTGCTTATTATTTATTTGTTTGTGTTTCTCAATATTTGGCCGTGTGAAAAATACTATTTTTTTAATGTTTAAAATGTGTAAAAGGCAGAAAAAGCGAAGAAAACAAGTAAAGCAATAAAGAGAGAACAAAATAAGTAAAGGAAAAAAAGTAATAAATAAATAAATAAATAAATAAATAAATAAATAAATAAATAAATAAATAAATAATAATAAAAAAAAAAAACAAAAAAAAAATTAAAATATTAAATAAAAATTTTAGGAAAAGAACAAATAAATAAATATGTTTCCTTAAAGCCAAAAATGTAAATTCAAATAGGGCAATGAGAAAAGCAAAAAAGATAAAACAACAATAATAAAAAAAAAATTCTGAGAAGTAAAAACAAAACTTTGGACTTTTATTTTTAAAAAATAATAAAGAAGTCATTCAAGATATTTAATAAAAAATTTAAGAATTAAGTAAATGAAAATGTGTTTTCTTAAAAACCAACAAACAACGAATATAAAAAAACAACGAAGAAATCATAAATAAGTATGAAAAATAATAATAATAATAAATTCGTTTTACATTATTTTATTTTATTTCTTGCAAATAAATAGTAAAGTAATTAAAAAAAAATATAAATAAAAAAAATTGAAGAAATTAATAAAAAGCAAATAAATAAACGTGTTTTTTTATTCACCAGAAATATAAATAAAAAAGGCTACGAAGAAAGCAAATAATAAAAACATGCAAAATAATAATAAATATAATTTTAAACAATAAAAATAAGAATTTTCAATTGAATTTTTCATAATTCTTACTTTTTTTAAAGAAACTGTTATTCTTTTATTCAAACAAGAAAAAAGAAACAAAATAATTTGAAGTGATTAAGTGAATTCAAACAGAATGAAAACAAACCAAATAGGAATGAATAGACCGAAACGGAAGGAAATGAAATGATGAGAGCATCTAAGTGGAAATAAAGTGAAATGAAATGAAATGGAATTTAGTAAAACGCTTTAAAATTGTATTGAAATATTGGAAATCATGAAAACGGCACAAAAATAATGAATTGAAAGATAATAAAGTCATTATATAAGAAATATATATGCATATGCATATATGTAATTGGCGCTTTGTAACCGCTGAAGCGATTTTCGACCGAGCTCGTCCTCCATAAGAAATATATATATGTAAATAATATTTGTTACAATAATTATACACATTCAAAAACAAAATTAAACCAATTTATTGCAAACCAGCTATGATGCTGTAAAGATAAACAAATAAATTAACTGTTAAACGCACTAAATAATAAAATAAAAGATATTTAATACATCAAATTAAGAGAAAAAATTAGTGAAAAATAAAGCATAATCGTTTATAGTGAAATAATAACTGCGATAACAACAAAAACAACTGCTTTCCCAAATATATTTGTAGATTTACAATTAAAATGTATACAAAAAAAAAAAAAATTAAATAAACTCATTTTAAACGCAAACAGAAAGAAAATATGTTTTGAAGCTTGAAAAAGTGTGTGGTATAGACTTGCGCTAAATAAATAAGTATACATAAGCGATTAGTACCTACATTTTTTTTTTTAAATGCTATAGAAAAGCATTCTTCGAAAATCTAAACAGTCTCAAACAGTTGTCAAATATATTATTAATAGTGTCCCAGGGTCCACAACGAAATTATTATTATTTTTATTATTTAATTTGTGGTTTCGTAGCAGTGAAGTGAGCTTCTCAATAAAAAAGGTGCTGCCTGGGGCTCCGGTGATTTGGCCGCTTGAGGACATCTGAAATAGGCAAATAAAAAGATTATTGTTCTGTGAACAGCTTTCGTTGAAAAAAAAATGGTTTGACTTGGAATAGATTTTTTTTACAATCCAGGCAGACAGTAAAAAAGTTGTTTCGAGAAAAACCGTTTAAAGTTTGCAGTTACCTTGCGACTCAGTGCATACCACTAAGAGACGCTCGCGTAAAGCACTTCGTCAATATTTCGAATTTCGTTATACATCTTTTTTTTTTTTTTTAATAAAAAGTTGATTTTTCCAAAATACGTTACCGGTAATAGTCTGGTATAAGAGGCCACTTGTTAAAAACCGTATTTTTTTGTTTTAATTTGCGATGCTCAAATTCTGACTTGAGTTATATTTTCAAAGAAAGCTTTAGAAATACTTTTTTTTTACTAAATTCTTAGATTGTTATGCCATTTTATGAAATGATATAAAAAACTGTATTCAGTATTTTGATTATGAAAAAATAAAAAAAATAAATTTTATATCGATAAATAATTATTTTTAGTTTTAATTCTTTTGAAATTTGTGGGAAATACATTTTTTCCAGCCGGAAAAATAATTTGCTGTTAAAAGCCATTAACATTTTATTTCCGAAATTTTGGTCTTCTACCTTAATAAACTAGCGTTTTGAGTGAAATTTGGGCTTTAATTAACATAACATTTCTTAACCAACGTATGTTCGTTACTCGGAAAATCTTATAAGACTAAAACTTGAAATTATTTAATCTTGACCTTTCATAACATTTTTATTACCAATTTGAGCATTTTCCAATAAATTCTTATGTACATACATATATAATTTCTTGTTTCATAAAAGTGTCTATGGCGATAATTAGAATTGAAAATTATACATATCCATGTACATATATGTATATGTACAATATGTATGTAAGTGAAACTTTATTACGTTTCCAGTAGTAAAAATATTAATTTGAATAAAAATACATTTTCAAAATATCAGTTTTCGAAAATATCAGACTCAATATCAAAAACTTGAAATGAAAAAATGTATTGAATGAGCTAAACAGTTTATAACTCACGAATAAAGAAGGTTTTATGAATGAATTGATGATATTTGTTACCGGTGAAATAAATATGCATATTTACATACATATCTACATTGCATAGAAAACAAAACAAAACAAAAAAAAACAACTGAAGTGTGTGTAATTTTAATAAAAAATGGAAAAAGTGCAAAAAAACAAACCGTCTGACTAAATTGCATTACATGCATATGCTTCATATCTACATACATACATACAGTTTTGTTGCCTAAGTGACGCATTCACAGTATACTTGTGGGTGTGCGTGAAAATTTCTCAGAATAAATGCCCAAGTAAAACTATGTAAAATACATACATACGTATTATTTTCGTTGCACATTCAAAAGTTACATAGTATGTACATCCATACATATGTATGCGTCTTATTTTATAAAAACTATAAGAAAATATAAAAAGTGCGTTTGCTTACATACATACGTACATGTGTACATAAAAGCATATAATATGAAAAAATTTCCAAATTTTCTTCAACACCACAATAATAATTAATTAATACACGAAAAGTGCATACAAAATTGTGTATAATGAATGAAATAAAAAAAAGTTTGCTGTGTTCAAATTATAAGCCCAGCAGATGTGCGTACGCATCACTCACACAACGCAAGCTGCATGCATGCATGGATGAACTCACAGATACGCACCACTACACCGAAGCTATAACGCAGTCGGCAGTGTAGTTGGCAGCACAGCGGCGTCGCCGTCGTCAATGGTAGCAGCAGCGCAATTTGCAATTTTGCCCGTCATACATTTTCGTTCATTTCGTACGCTCTCGGTAATTGTCGGGTTTTTGTGCTCTCTCCTACTTTTGTGCTCTGCTGCTAAGTGCACATTTCGTTAATGGAAAAATGAAAAACAACAATAAATTAGAAATGCTAATGCGGCCTTTTAAATTTGAATTCTAAATAAAAAAAATTAAGCCAAAATAAAACAAACAAATTAAATTAACACAAAAGTTATCAAGCCAAGCAGTGTTAAAACTATAAAAACAACGTGAACATAAACATTAATTCATACATAACATTTAATTATGTATAAAGCATTCTTCTTCGTTTTCAATTTGTTCCAATATCCGGTTTGCCTTATTTTGTGAGTGTGTGTGTGCATGTGGATGTTTTCTCTTTTAATTGTGTGTGTGTTTAGAGGCGGTTAAAGGGAAGTGTTAACTGATATGTTTTACTAGTTGTTCAGAAACTGTGGCACAAAATAAAAATAATGAAATAATTCCAACGAAGTTCATTCAACTTGCTATCAAATACATAATAAGTACATATGTACATACATATGTATGGTAGAATGTTTGATTTTTTTTTTGATTTTTTGCGGCGGCGACGATAGCTGAGTGATTAGCAATGTGTACTGCCATTCGGAATGCTCGGGTTCAAATCCTCGTGCGGCCAACATCCAAAAGTTATAGAAAATGAATTTCAATAAAAAATTAAGTTAAATTTTCTAATTGCGGTTGTCCGTCGGCAAGGTATGTCTACACCTCCGAGTGTATTTCGTATATGAAATAAAGGCTCCTCGTAAAAAAACCATCAGCCGTTCGGAGGCGGATTAGTATAAACTGTCGGCCCTCCAATTGTTGGGAAAACATTAAGATTCAAAACCACAAACGCAAAAAAAAATAGAATAAAACCAACCTGACAATTCATATTTTTGAAATGTTCAACTGCCGTTTTACGGTTTTGAATTTATCCAAATTCCACTGTCATGTTATCCATAATTTTCGAAAAAGTACGAGGGGATTAACAAACGTTCGGTCAGTTGATGACTTTCGAATTGATTTTGTTAAATCTAAAAGTACAATAACAAATCCTTTGCAATTACCTTATTAGTCTTGCTTTCAAATTTTAGAACGATCGGCTAAAATGGAGACCAAAAAAACGCATGGTAACTGAGGTTATCTCAGACGAAATTCCACTACCAACGCGAAGAGAAATTCGCAATGTGATTCTTTTTGGTTTTCGGCGTAATTTACAGCCAATACAAATATTAATTTAATCCCAATTCCATAAGGAACAATTGCACCGACTTTAAATACTATTTTTAAATGGTTCCGAAGATTTCTGACTGGACATTTTTCCGTAGACGGCAAGCCTGAGAAGATCAACCAAAAAATTATTGCAAATGAATTGGGCTTGATTGCCTTGGCTGTATCGCGAATATTAAGTAATCACCGAATATCAAGTAATCACCTAGGATTTCGTATCTGCTCGATGGGTAACACAAATTTTAAATGAGGTCCAAATAGAGATTCGAGTGCATTTTGCTCAATTTTCCCTAAACAAATTCGAAAACGATCAGTCAAACAACTTTAGTAAAGTCGTTACTGGTGACTTATCTTCTATGAATACGATCCAGAAACCAAACAGCAGTTCATGATTTGGTGCCCAACAGGAGCAAACCCACCCATAAAATAAAAGCAACAAAAATCAGCATCAAAGTAATGATATCAGTTTACTTCAGCTGATCCAAAAAGGTAGCTTTTATTCTACTGGAAAAGTGTCAGGCGTTAACTGCAAAATAGTACAAGAAATATTGTTTACCAAAAGTTTTCAAAATTTGTTGGAAAACAGGGAAAAAATGAATAAAAATATAAAAAGAAAGGTCTTTAATAGCAACGAGGAGATAATTAATGCGGTTAATACTGAACTTGATAAGCTTAAAAAGCAAGATTTTGAAGACAGTTTTCAGAAGTGGATTTATAGGCTAAAGAAATGTATTTAAATTAATGGCGATTATGTAGAGAAGATAAAAAAGGACAAAAATTACGAATTAATACAAAAAGAATTTTTTTCATAGGCAACTTACCGAACTTGTTTTAATCCCCTCGTATATTTTTATTATTCACTTAGCTGTTGGTGCTATTTTTTCATTATTATTTTTTTTTTTTTGAATGGGCGGTGAGGAATGAAAATTTGGAAATCAAAAAGAAGCTGCGTCATTTTGATTTAGTTAAAAACTAGGAATTGATTGTTTGAAATTATAACTTTTGTTACTCGTTTCGGTCAGACCTAACCGACTTCTACATACACAAAAAAATCACTGAATTGAGTCGATTTTTTTATAAAAAAAAATGAAAGAGGTTTTCTTTAGAATTTTGCAACGAAAATTACTGACGCTTAGACGATTTTTGCTTAATCTCCCATCAATATTTCGGTGTGATGTTTTTACAACAAACCCATTGTGTCTCTAAGCCATCTCCAAATGGGTCAAGGATTTTTAATTTCAAGTTAAAAATACGCTCGGTTGACGATGCTTGTAGAGGAGTATGCTATCACTCCTAATAATAATCATAATAATCGCGAAATATTAAATGCAGTTCAATTGAATTTTAGCAAGTGATCAGCAACATTTTAAAGAAATATGAAAAAAAGCTTTAGGTAAATTGCGTTTTCTAAAATTCTAAAACCACTTATGCTTTTCGAACTCGCATGGCTGTTGTCATTTGGAATGCTTCTTGAGCTTCTAGTGCAGCGTTATATATGCATATGTAATTAGCGCTTTATAACCGCTGAAGCGATTTTCGGCCGAGCTCATGGAGAGACCTATATTTATATTAAGCCGAACGGCTGATGGGTTTTTATGAGAAACTTTTATTTCATGTCGGAAATACCCGCGGAGGACTTGACATTTCTCCCGAGGGGCAACCGCAATTAGACATTTTTTTATTTAAATTAGTTTTCTATAACTTTGGGATGTTAGTTGGTCATACCAGGATTTTAACCCAGACTCCCGAATGTCAGTACGCTATGCTAACCACTCCAAGTCAGATTTGTTTACTTACTGCCGGACTTAAGTTGATTGAAGCAGATTCAGTTATTAATGAAATAAGTTAAAAATAGAAGAGAAATATTTTTTGTAGAGTGATCAGTTCACATGTACGGCCGTTGGTGTGAGCATCAACAAATTACTCACGGTAAGGCAGATCTGTCGATAGAGGCGACTAAAATTCAATAGTTGCCGCAGTCCCAACAGTCGGATTTTTACACGCGACCGAACTATAATTTTTATATATGTACCAAAGACTGTCTATTCCGCAATGCTCTCCGAGAAAACCAATTTTTGGAAAATTTTTGGGGTTACAACAACAACATAACTAATCAGTATAACTTGAACTTGCTGTTTACTATTTTTCAGTTCTTCTTTAATAAAATAATAATATTAAAAATATATTCCACTTTTGTACTCTTAAACATGAACATGATTGGTTTAAGATAGCAGTGAATTAAGAGTAACTCTAAGTCCTCTGATGTAGGATTAACGGTTTAACGAAAAGAATCGTATTAACGAATTTGACTGACGAATTTGGAGAACTATTGTAATTATGTTTAATATAATTCATACAAAATAATAAATTCATTATTTTAAATATTTAATTAAAAAAAAAATAATTGAAAAAAAAAACAAAAACTAAAGCGATGTATGAAAGAGAACAAAAACTAAACAAATAAAAATAAAAATATAATAAGTTAATTATTTTGAATCTAAAAACATTAAATTAATAAAGTAAATTAAAAATAAAACTAAATTTATTTAAATTAAATTAAATAAAAATCAATTTATATTCGCTATAATGCAAAAATATGGCACAAGCAAAAATGAACCATGACCTGACCCTACTTTCCAACCTAAACTACTAGACACTCGGCTGTAAATTTATTGAAAATACTTGCTTCTTTCTATCACATATGTACATATACTATGTTACCTTTTAAAGCACGATTTATATAAAAATGCATATGCGTGTAATATATAATACATATGCACATACTTATGTATGTTCAGATAAAAGTATTTATGTATACGTATATATGTACAAATGTATATTCGTATAAAAAATTGAACTTGACCTTGATTTCCATCATGCCAACAACCTTGAACTTTGAATTGGTTTTTATAAGAAATCATTAATGTTATTAAATGCAAAAGAGCAAAGTTATTTTTAGTCTTTAAAAACCATGAACAATGAATTTCATCTGCAATAAACTTTCACAGTGTGATTGTTGTTGTCCCAGTAGAAACTACAAATGCATGTGCATGTGTGTGTTATACAAAATTGTGGATTATAAAAGCGAAGAGTGGGAGAAGAAATACAATAATTTTGTGTCAGTTCATTCATCTTAAATGCGCAGTGAGAGTGAGTGCAGCGCTGTTGCGCCCGACGCAGTGGCGAATGAGAGCTCAAAATGGAAATAAGAAATGTATTCTGCAGTCGAGCATGTTTGACATACATGTAGTTGTTGGAAGATGTTTAATCCAACTTGTCGGTTTCAAACATACCTCATTCGAACATGTAACTTTTGTAATTTAAGAAATGCCAACTCCAACTCATACTCATACCAATTTTTTTTTATATTTTTTTTTTTATCTGCCATTCCTTTTACTTATTTTCTTTTCGTCTTCTCTTTATTCTAGCACCAGCAAAACTCACGAATATGCAAATAAACAAAATAAACAAATATTTATAAACAAAAAGGGGAAAGAGAATTTAATAGCAGATAGCGCACAAATAACTGCTGAAGAAAGTGGGCATAAAACAAATATTACGCACATTTGGCTAGAAAATGGTGTGAAAAAGTAGAATTACAACAAAATAATAGCAGCTGAAAGACAAAGATTGTTTGATATCAGCATCTGAATAATTTTTATGTATTTGAAATCCTTAATTTAAAAGTGGAGTTGAACGTGAAAGCAGAAATAATTCCTTCTAAACAACCGACTAGAGAAAAGCCTTCAAAATTAAACGCAACAATAAGAAGAAACCCCACAGCAATCATCCATCCAGTTTGATGAAAAACATGGACAAAAATTCCGGCGGCGACGGTAGCGATGGTAAATCGGGCGTCGGCGTCGGTTTAGGTGGTGGCGGCAGTGGCAAGGCCGGCTCTAGCGCCAGTGGGGGCGGTGGAGCCGGTGTGCACGATCCCTCTGCATTGTTGGATGCCGCATCGCTATTTGGTGAGTACTGTGCACATAATCTGATAATCCCATTCCAATTACATATGTACATACATACATATGTATATATGTGTATGAATGTATTTTAAATAATTCCTAATGCCAATATATTTATTATATGCATACGATTTTGTAACATTAATTACAGCTTATTGGGGACGCGATCCAACAAGTGCTGCCGCAGCCGCTTCCAATCCGCTATTTAACTCACAATTCAACGCGGCCGCAGCAGCCGGCCTCGGCTTGTTACAGAATCCTGCGAATGCAGCAAATGATCGCTATTCTATAGCAGCTGCTGCAGCAGCCGCCGCCTCACATCATCATCAGAACACCATGGCGGTGGCGGCGTCGCAAGCGGCTAGTCTGGCTAGCCTACATCCAGCAAGTGAGTTAAGCTGTATGATCGTTGATGAAAATGGTCTTGTTTAAGATAAGATTATATGTGATTGATTTATTTTTATTTAAAGTTTTATATTGTTTTGTAGAAAGATCTAGATATGCATACATACATATGTACATATATACTCACTAACTACAAATGCACCAGAATATTATTAAAACAGTTCCATTAAATTATGCATATTTTGGAGTACAAGATTATCAGCACATATTTGATAAGTCCACAAAATGCTTAGTATGAAATTAATATAAATTAATTGATTGATAATTTTTTTTTACCGAAAATAAGAACTCGGCTCGAAAGAATTTATTTGTAAATTTAGAGGTACATATTCATATATCACATATGTATGTACATACATACATCAATTTATATTGTTTAGTTCACATTTCGCTTATTTATTTTTAACCCGCCGAGTGGCGAGTTGGTTAGCGTATTGCTCCTGCACTCCAGGAGTTGTGAGTTCGAATTCCCGCTAAAACAACTTAGAAAACTTTTCAGTAAGAATATTAAAATTAAAAATTACAATACAAGGAGTGAAACAGCAAACGCATTTGTAAACATGATTCGATGTTGTTTGAAGAAAACGCTCCTAGATGAAATTGCACTAAGTCTTCCCAATACTTAGTAGATCCATTCAACTAATCTATTGTGTAGATCTGAAGTCGGAAGTGTGCATACATATACACATATACATATCATATATAGAGTATTTAATTTTAATTGGTTTTTTCTTTACAAATTTTAAGATAAATTTTAATTATTTCTCGTTTTTTATATATTTGTCGCATATAATAGCATTTAAGGTCATATTTTTTATGATTGATTTTATTTGTATATTTTTATTCTTCATTGTGTTTACTTTTTATTATTTAATTTAATAAAATTTAATCTGTTTTATTTGAGTTATTATGTTTTATTGTATTTTATTTAATTTAATTTTTTTATATTTTAATCCTGTTTTTTATTTATTATTCTTATTTTGTTTTATTTCACTTTAATTTATTTTATTTTTTATTATATTATTATTTATTTTATTACATTTTGTTATATTTTTATCTCTTTATTTCATCCTTTTTGTTTTTCTTAATTATTTTAACATTTTATTTTTTACGTTATTTTCTTTCTTTCGTATTTTTTTTTAATTTTTTCGCATTTTTTTATATTTTATTTTATTCCACATTATTTTATTGCCTTCCATTTAATGCTAATTTATTTTATTGTCTCTTGTATATTTCATTTTAATTAACTGTTAATTCCGCTCGTTTTCTGCAGGTTGGTGGTCTATGGCTCAATTGGCAGCTCAAGACTATTTCACCCGCCTACAAGCTTCCGGCCTATCGCCCTTTGCTCATCCCGATGTGATGGCTGCCTTTGGTCCAGCAGCACTGGGTCTTGGTGGTGCGTCAGGTGCCGGTGGTACAGGCGTCAGTAATCCTGGTGGGAGTGTCGGTGCTTTGAGTGCCGGCACAAGTGGTGGAAATGTCGGTAGTGGCAGCAGTTCTTCGTCAAGCAGCAAATCGAGTAAATCCCGCAAAGAGAAGCGTCAACAGCAGCAGCAGCAACAACAACAGCAACAACAGAATTTAGCTGCAGCTGCAGCGGCAGCAGCAGCGGCGGCTGTTAGTGCTAATCCTGCGGCTGCTTTGGCTGGTATGCATAGTTTGGTGGGTGCTGGCGGATCGCTAAATCCTTCCTCGATGGGCATGGGTAATAGTGGAAGTACAGGCAATACCACTGGTGTTGGTGGCAGTAGCGGCGGTAGTAGTTCGTCGTACAAAGTGAGTTCGTGTGTTAAAGTGCAGTTTATCCTTTATGTGAACTCTAATATCTAATTGTCTATTTGTTTTCTTCTCCAATTTGACAGTCGAGTTCAACCAGCTATAGTAAACCATCCGTGAGTCCGGTTCTACCACCGCCGCCCGGTTCGGCATACGATCCGGTGCAATTGCATAAAGAATTGATGGCGATGCAAGTCGCAGCAGCGTCTGGTAGCTCTTCCAGTTCCTCATCGTCAAAGAAATCCTCATCCCATCATCATACGCAATCACACCAGAGCAGCAGCAATAGCGGTGGCGGTGGTAGTGGTAGTGTTGGCAGTAGTAGTGGTTTAGGAATGTCCAGTGGTGCTTCCTCATCACTCGGTGGCAGTGGTAACAATACAAATAAGAACTCTTCAATGAGTACCAATGCCGCAATGCATCATTTAAGTGCATTGGGTGGTAATATGTGCGGCAACAATTCAACAGCGCATCACATTAATGCGTTAATGTCGCCGCATGGTTCTTTGGGTGGCAGCAGTGGTATGGGTAGTGGCGGCAGTAATATGGGTGTTAGTAGTAGTGGAAGCAGTGGTTCGACATCCGGCAGTAAAGCGGAACGTGACAAGAATAACGCTTCATTGAATGCGCTTAGTTCGTTATCACAATTTGGCGCACTGGGCATGAGTCCACAGCAAAGTATGCAGGCGGCAATGAATGCCTTTGCTGCCTCTAATCCAGCGGCAGCGGCAGCAGCTGCTGCTGCAGCTTCAGCGGCGGTTGGTGGTGGCAAGAGTGGCAAAGATTACATGCCAAGTGGTATACTTAGGTGAGTATAAGGCGAATATTAGGATGTGGGCTCCTTGAAATCACTGTGTGGTGGAAGGAGGGAGGTAGGATTAGTGTAAATAAGAATTTAGTTTATGCAATATTTGGTGCCTGTTTAAACATTACTTTGGGTTTATTTTTCGGAAAATTTTTAGTTTCTAACTTTAATTATAATTTTTTCTGCATTTCTTTTATTCTCGGTATTTGGTGCGTTTTCAACCACAAAACCAATGAATTTATCACTTATGCACACTCATAAAAATACTCCTTGGTTTACCTAGTGCTGCACTGGAAGGAAAGTAAGATCCTCCTCTTTGTTAATAATTCTTCGATATTGTATGTTTCCATATGCATATTCTCATCCACTTTATCTGTGACCAAACGTTGGGTAAATTCAAGCCGCGACTATTACTTTCTGTTTTTAATTGAATACTTTTGGCCACAGATATTTATTTCTATTTTCATATCACTAATCATCGCAAGCTTTCTAGTTCCTTTCCAATTTGGTAAAGCATGAATCTCTATTAAAATGCTTAAAAAATGCTTTAACTAAAATCTAAATTGTTTCTTCACTTAAAGTCGCTCATCCCTGCATAAAATCGCTTTTCCTAATTTAATTCTTGTATGTTTGAAATACTATAACATTCCAAGTTAAAAGAATTTAAAATTATGTATGTGTGCTCACAATATTTTGTAAATATATTAACATATTTTTATATCTTTTTTTTTTTAACGACGTTCGCGCCCATGTTGGATTCGTCAAACAGTGACCATCAATCCTTATTAGGTGTACGTCTGCCGCCGGATACGGAGATTATCAAATACACATCGTCCATTGTGGGCCCTAAAATACCCGGTACGACATCGCGTGGTCGCAAGAAAACTATTTCTGAAGAGCAGCAACAACAGCAGTTACTCGCACAGCAACAACTGCAGCAACAGCAGCAACAATTGCAAAAACAAGAGTTAGACGCAACAAATGCGCTTTCCTCACTGCTTTCAATACCCGGACTGAGCCCGGCAAAACGGGCTCGCCTTGAAATGGAGTATGCAGCGATGGCGGCGGCTGTGAACGTTGCCCAACAGCAACAGCATCAGCAGCAGCAACAGCAGGCACAACAACAACTACAGCAACAGCAGCAACAAGCGCAACAACAACAACAGCAGCAACAGGCGCAACAGCAGCAGCAACAACAGCAACAGCAGGCACAACAACAATTGCAACAACAGCATCAGCATGCTTTGAATGTTGCTGCCGCGAGTGGTTTTGGTGGTATCGGTGTCGGTGGCACTAATGCACAAGCAGCCGCTGCTGCAGCTGCCGCGGCAGCAGCACTTGGACAATTAAGTGGACCGGCCGCTGCAGCTGCTTTAAGTGCTAGCGGTCTTGCGATGGGGGCACCTATGAGTCTACCAGGTCTTAGTGGTTTGGCTGGTCTCGGCGGAGTGGGTGCCTTAGGCACTACACCCGGTCGCTTAGATGCACACTTAATGAGCACAGCTTCCCTGAGTGCTACACCTAGTAATAGTCGTGACTCATCAACAGATCGCGTGGAAGTGATAAAATTACCACCCACAATCACCTCGAATGGCGCTTATAATCTATCGAATAAAAATAAAGACTTGCTCGATTTGACGGGTGATAACAGTAGCGGCGCTGGTGTGAATCTCAGTATGAAATCCTCCTCGTCCGCCACTGCAACGGCGTCCAATCCCGCAACAGCAGCAACAGCGCTAATCGGCACAGCTGCAAATCCCATTATGATCGAGGACTATGATGCGCCATTGAATTTGTCAATGAAACCGGCTGATAAACAGAGTTCCTCCAGCAGCGTTATGTCGTCATCAATGCTGGGCGGAAGCAGCGACTATAGCAGCCCGGTAAATATGGGTGGCACTGTGTCCGTGCCCGCCGGCAGTGGTGGTTCGAATAGCTTACAAAGTTTGACTTCGATAACAGCTGCATTGGGAGGTGGCAGTAGTACGCCTCTGTCTGGTAGTGGCCCAAACAGCAGTGGCGGCAATGCAGGTAGTAGTGGTTCCGCTGGTTCCAGTGGTGGTGGTGGCAGTAGTGGTGAGCGGTCAGGACAAACGCCGTTTAAGGAGGGGAGACCGCGTAATCTCGGACGTGGTGTTTCAAAACCGAAAAAGAATACAGTCGCTTCATTGCTGGCGCAGTCTCGAGCTGTGGGATTAAAACCAATGCTAGCCACACAACAGTTGTTACAGCAGGGCGCTGATTTGGTGAGTTTGACGTGTAGTGGGATATAGAAGATAGAAAATAACTGAAATCTTAATCTATAATGAATAGGAAAAAATTCGCCAAGCACTGAATGAAGCAAACGCGCAACTTGACCTCTCAACAGACTCCGAAAGTGTTGCAGCCGAAAGCGGACTCTCCGAATCAGAAAGCGAAGATGCTAACATTTTAAATGTGACCGAATTGCGTGTACCACTCGATTTGGGTTGGAAGCGTGAAACGGTCATACGTGGTCTAACCAAGGCAGGCCAAATACGCGGTGAAGTGGTGTATTATGCACCCGGTAATACAGTGCCACTTAAGAATATTGGTCAAGTGATCTCTGTGAGTTTGTAGACAACTTTTTCTTATCTCTCTAAATGGATGTGTTCTATGTGCGTGTGTGATATTTTAATATTATCTCCGTTTAATTTACAGTATTTGGAGCAGAATCCATCGAAATTGACGCGTGACAACTTCAGCTATTCATCGCGTGCAATAGTCGGTTCATTTTTACAACCTGCACCGCCGCCTTATGCCAACGATGGTGAATACATACGCATGACAGATGAGGATGTGGCTAAACGTCTGGAGGATTTAAAAATGTTTACGCGGCAAACGCTGAATGTGGAACAGCGTATTGAGATAGCGAAGCAACAACAGGCCATACGCGATGCAAAAAAGCAACAAAAGGAAGAGATGGCGCGAAACAAGGAAAAAGCACGGCAGGAAAAAAACGAGAAGCTTGAGCAGCAACGAAAAGAAAAGGAGTTAAAAAACCAGCAAATGATTGAGGTAAATATTATATTGGTGTGCCGGCTGTAGAAAGCTTCTATATATTTTTTTTGTTGTAATTTAACGCAATGCTGTTTGTTTTCAATTCTCATCATGTATGTATGTACTCACGCATTCTATTTGGTGTATTTTAGGCACGCAAGAAGCGTCAAGAAGAACTAGAACGCATCAAGCAAGAGGAGCTGCTCAAGAAACAACAGGTAATTTATTCGAAATGTAGTTAGCAAACTTTTTATTTGCACATTTTCTATTTTCGTAAAAGAATTCAAATTCAAATTTTACATTTTCGGACTTAAACTAGCATTCAATTCAAATATTAATTATACAATTTTCATTTATTTATTTTTATCCTTTAGGAAAAAGAAAAGAAACGACAAGAAGCTATTTTAGCTAAAGAACAGGTATTAGCTGAGTACCTTTTCTCTACGCTTAGTAGTAGTAATATTCTATTATTTACACAATTGGCTACACAAACTTTCAATTTCTATTCTGTTCAGTGTATTTCTGTTGTATGCTTTGGAAAGTCCTTTTTTATTGATTCAATTCATAGTTTTCTAATATTCAACAATTTATTATACTTCTTTTCTTTCCAAAATCAAAGTCATTCTATTTATCTTTTTTGTTTTCGGAACAACTATTTTTCCATTAGTAAATTCCACTCATTTATTTTGTAGTTTTTTGAAATTTCCTTAATCCATTTCTTTTTTGTATCTTGAGCATATTTTTGCAACATAAATTTATGTACTAAATTTATCTCATTTTAAAATGTCATCTACAGGAACTCCAAAAACAGAAAGAAGCATTACTTGCCGCCGAAATGGTAAGGGGAAAACGAAGAAAATTTCACTCTAATATCATTTTACTAGTTTATTTCTTTTCTCATGCCAGGAACGTGAACGCCGTCGTCAACATATGGCATATGTGCGCCAGCTGGAGGCGCGTCGTAAATTTGTCGAGCGTGAAAAAAAGAAGCATCAAATGATCTTAGATCGTTTGATATTACGTGAAAAACGTTTGGCTATTAGAAAGCGTGATTCAGAGATTTTAGCACAAATAAGGTGAGGTGCTGTCAAAACTTTTTCGATAATATCAAATAAATATAAGAAACAGTAAAGAATGGACCTTCTCGCATTCAGTGAATTCAGCTCCTAAACCTGCACACTTTTCTTTAATTTCTGTTTGATTTATTTTAATTTAATTTAATTTTATCTTTCTTCAATAGGAAACCACAAGAAGACTCCGAAGTCGCACATCCTCATGAGCTACCCGAATTGGAACGCATCGGTGGAAATCGTTTACCTGGTCAAGCTATGGCGGACTTGCTGATGGTATTCGAGTTCTTGCATAATTTTGGTGAAACATTAGGATTCGGTGAGTACTCGTTGGTGTTGAAACTATTTCAAATTGTTTTTTGTCCACTATAATAATTTGCCTCAATAACACCCACTCCGCTATTTACAGACATGGAGTCACTTCCCACTTTGCAGAACCTGCATGATGCTCTAATCAGTGACAGCAATCCCGACGCTGAGGAAGAGCTGCTATCTGTGATGACTCATCTGCTGGTGTGCGCCATTGAAGATCCGGGCATACCCAATCCTGGACGTCACACCACACTACTCGGACAATCGTTGCGAAACGCTGATATTACCAATTCAAACGTTTCGGAAATTCTACGCATTTATCTATATGCAACCGCTACCGGTGAGATACGCCAATTGCACGGCATTACAATGGATCGTGAACGTGAGCGTCGCATACCTGATCATCATCAAGTTGACGCTGAAACTGTCTCACACTCGGGCAAAAATGCAGAATATTATAAACTGTTACACGAAAATGAGACGTGGAAATTATCGCATTCACTTAAAAATCGTCCATTTGTTGCATTGAATCCCACAAGAAAGGCACAAATACTTGCACATCTCTGTAATGATCTGTTGATGAATAAGGCAGTTTTAAAACAGATCGATGGCAGCTTGGAGACATGCGCACAAATGCGTAAGGAAAAGTATATGACCGATATGAAGGTGCGAAAATATAAAGCTTTACATCAGCGTAAGGCGCGAATAGAGGCATACGAGAAGGCGCAGGCTGAGCGTGAGGCGGCAATGCAAGCAGCTATTGCGGCACAACAAAAAGCCGATGCTGAACGCATACAGAAGGAGGCTGAAGCAGCGGCTGCAGCAGCAGAAGCGGCTGCCAAAGTAACAGCGGAGGCAAATATCAATGCAACAGCGGAGAAAGAGGACGATGAAAAGGGTGTTGGCAGCAGTGTGGTGGCAGCTGAAGGAGCCAATGGTGGCGATGTGTCTTCTACTAGTAATACCAACAATACTATGACACCAGACAATGGAGAACATAGTATTAAAAACAACAACAATAACAACAACAACAACAACAACAGTGGAGTCGCCAACAATGGCGAGCATCATAATAAAAACGAAAATGAAATAGCTGTTCAAGCAGAGAAGATGGTTGTTGATGGTGACGACGTTTCAGCTGTGAATAACGGTGACGAAAGTAGCACTGTAAAGTTTGACAAGGATAAGTACCCGCTGGCTACCCCATCAGATGTAACTGCTTCAACTGTTGTTGTTGCCAACAATACAACAGATGCTCCGCCTGCCCCACATATGTTGCCAATGCCAACATTACCAAACGTGTTCGACAGTCTTAAGTATGACGTAAGCCCTACTAAAAGCTACACCAGCGAAAACGCAATCACACCAATTAAACAACCGAAGTTGGATGAGTCGGCTTTAAGCACGTCTTCTTATCAGAATGGTGTTAGCGGCGTGTCTTCTGGTTTACCAGAAATTTGCACTCCAGCCGCTATCGGAGCATCGTCCGATTTGAGTAGCCTGCTGCCGAAAAAGACTGGCAACGACGATGTGCCAAACGATGTGGGCTTGGATGACGACATTAGTGATTTAGAATCTGAAATTACAAATGTCGAGGAGGACGAGGATAATCGTCTGAGCGCAGACGAGTTGCAGAAAAAGCTAGATAAGATATTACGTGCGTCCATGAATTGCAAGGAATTACTGGAAAAGAGCACCAATCAGTTGCGTGCCACTTGCTTCGGTCAAGATCGCTTTTGGCGCCGCTATTGGAAATTGCCAAAGGCGGGCGGCATTTTCATTGAAGCACTGGAGTCTGCACAAAACGACATATTCCATTATCAGGAAATTTTAGAGACAGAAAGTGAAGAAGCACGTGCTGTTAAATTGGCGAATGGTGAAATTGAGGCTAAGAAAGAAGAATGCAAAGAGGAGGAAGATGAGGCTGATGCAGATGGTGCCGAAACAGAGAATGCTGATGAAGATGGCGAAGCTGATTTGAATAAGTTATGTAAGAAAGTTGAGGACGAAGGTAAACATGTGGAAACAGTCGAAAAGATGGAGGTTGACAGCGTAACAGAAGAAACGACAGCAATCAATTCTGCTGACAATAATACCAATAGCAATACTAATGGCAATTCCACCAACGTTATGACATCAACGGTGATAGACGATGACGACGATGATGTCGTGCTTACCAGTAAAGACGAACCGGAGATTGTCGATTTGCGCGATGACGACGACGATGATGATGACGTCGTACACACCGCCACCATACCAGCGCCGAATCGTATGGACAACTATGGCATCCCTAAGAAACCGCATGTAGACGCCGCCACCATCTCCACCAAAACTGACTTCGAAGCAGAGATTAAAATACCCGCCATACCAGCGCAATTTAATGCAGCGATTGCGGCAGCTGCCGCCGCCGCTGCCGCAGCTGCAGCTGCAGCCAACACCAATGTGAATCTCACCAATGCGGCAAATGCTATCGGCGAGAAAATCTGTGATAAAAATGAGATTACGATGTTGACGCCATCAGCATCAGTGACACCAATGCCAATGCCGATGACAATGCCAACACCAACATCAACACCCATGCCAATGCCTTTGCCGTTGCCAATGCCGCTGTCGGCACCAACGTCTATGCCAATCAACAGCAGTAACAATGCAGTAGTCAGCTGCAGTAACATCAACAACATGGGCATCAGCGTGCCAACGACTCTTAGTGGTGCCCTTTCCACCCTCCCTAGTGGTGTGTCGGATGATGTTAGCAGCACGACAGCAGCCATTATCGACAGCGTTGTGAAAGCCGAAGACTTGAAGAAGGAAGATGACTGTATTATAGTATCGGCAACAAGCGGTGATGATGCACTCTTCAAACAACCGGTAAATGTCTCAGATAAGTGGTTTTCGATACTCGATCGCGAATTGCCATTGATGTCGACTGAACCGATGGACGAAGCCAGTCTAAAAGAATATAAGATGGCATACGCAAATGTCTCATGCGACTCTCTCTTCCAGACACAAGGCCATCCGTGGGAGGTGCAGAATGTCGTACCGTTTTTCAACGTCACCTTGGACGAATGCAAAGTGGATCCATCAAAAGTCGTGCAGGAGTGCATATTATCGCTATCTGGCTTAGATGAGAAACAAATGGAAGCGAAGATACGTGAATATGAAAAGAAAATACAATTGGCTGCAATGGATACAGCCGAAGATACAGATGCCGAAGCAGCGATAGTCTCGCCAGCAGACCAAAAAAACTGTGGTGAGTCCCCTCGACAACGATTGAAGAGTGAGGAAGCCGCGGACAGTGGTGATGAGGAAGAGGACGATGAGCAAAAGTTCGAAACCGATTGTAAACCATCCACATCAGCAGCAGCTGTGGCCAAATTGACATCATCGGTTCCGCTAAAAACCGATGTTGTGAAAAGTGAGGCCAATGAAGTAGAAGGCACAGAAGACAAGAAATTTTTTTCATATTTGGATCCAACGAAAACAGACAGTAGTGGCGAATGTAAACCGAGCAAAGGTGCCATCGAAGGTGCCTTAAGTGAAGCCAAAGAGAACGACTTCAACACGGTGAGGCTAGAAATACGCATGGATGACATTGCCGGCATGTCTATACAAAACTTGGCCAATATGTCTTTGCAAAATCTCACCACATTCCTGCAATACGATGTGCAAACGCCACTTTCAATGACACCGGAAGAACAAAGGCAACTAGAAAGAGTGAAAAAGGAGGGTTTTCCCAAAAAGCTGGAGGGTATCTATGTACCACGCGATTTGCGTTACGGTTGGTGGAAATTAGATACTTTCGAAATGTTACAACGAGTTATTGACTCACTAAATCATAGCGGCTTGCGAGAACGTGATCTGCAGGAGAACTTAATACGTTTCATGCAACAGGAAGACACACCAACGATTGGCATTACGTACCCATTGACAAGTAAACCCGGCGAAGATGTCGCTTATTTGCAGCCAGACAAACCGCATGATTGGAATCCAAAGATAGCCAAACGCACAGAGCTAGCGCTACTTGATCAACTCGAAGCGCTGGAAGATAAAATCGCCAACGCCTCAATGCAACTGAAGAATTGGCAATTACCACCGCGTATTGAAAACGAGATCAATCTCGAATTGGAAGATGTGACCGAAGAAGATTTCATTAGTATCATACCAATGATACGCGAACGGATCATCGATTTAGAGGCCAACATCGAGCGCCGTTACCTTAAGCCACCGCTCGGCTCGCAGACCGGTGATGCACATTTAGCGGTAATCGCACAAAATCAACACACAACAACGCAGACTCAAAACTCCGCAGCCGCTGCGGCATTCCTCATACAAATGCAACAGCAACAGGCAGCCGCTGCCCAACAGCAGCTCATCAATATGCAAACGCAACAAACACAAAATGTAATCAACGCATCAGCATTCAATGAGCGTGCTATGGCTATTGCAGCAGCCAATGCTGCAGCGGCTGCAGCAGCTGTGGGCAGTGATGGGGCTGGTGGACATACAGCCAATACAAGCGGCAATAACTCAGGTGGCGACTCGCCTGCAAGTAATTGTGACAGTGAAAAGGATGAGAAGGTGGAGAATATACCCAAGGGATTGGCATCGTGGCGTGATGCGGTCTCTCGTTCACACACCACAGCGCAACTGGCAATGGCACTTTACGTGCTGGAATCGTGCGTAGCCTGGGATAAGAGCATAATGAAGGCGGTAAGTGGAAATGTGAAACAAGAGAATAGGAAAATATCTGTCCATGTACTTTGAATATACAGAAGAGTGGCAAAAACTTGATTTAATTTTTTTTTCTTTGTTATGATTTATTTATACTTTTCTCTGGTATAATAAAGCAATTTTGACACACACACATACAAACATGTGTACGACACGACCCCACTTGTGTTCGCTATCATCGTTTGTTGTAGGTTTATATGTAATATGTTGTTGTTGTTGCTGTTTGGTTTTTTCTGTTTTTTTTTTATTTGTCTCAATTTAATAGTTATTACGTAATGCGTTAGCATGTAGGTTTTAAATATTTCATATTCTTCTCATTATTTACATCATTAATTCCACATTTTTTTTTATCATTTTTAATCACTCACAAGTGTTTTTTTTAATTCAATAACATTCAATTCCTTACTAATATTATGTAATATTCACGCTACTCGTTAGGCCAGCTTTTGCTTAAAGCGGTGTTAAGCGGTACTAAATTGAATTTAAGGGGCTCAACCTGTGCGACAGCCAAAAAAAAAAGGTGATTTTTGGATATTTTTTCCAATGAAAACTGCTCCATTGAATGCTTTACAGTATCAAGGGTATACTTGTTTTTACATAAGCTATTCTTACATCTATATTTTAAAAGGAAACCCTTGCATTCTCCCGCAGAGGTCCGAAAAAAAGTTTCCATTTTGCTGTCATCCTCTCTGCCTTCAGGGTACCTGAAAAGAAAAAAAAATACACAAGAAAGGCGTTAAAGAGTATTCTACAATATGAACTATAAAGTGATACACGACTGAGAGAAAAAATGAGATCCAAAAAATGGCGTCGTCTTTAAAAAAATTTAAATTTTAGTTCAAAAACCTGACGGAATTTTCTATGCCAAATTTACAATTTTATTTCGATCGAAATATCCAAGGCCCACTTTATGTCTGAAATAATGCTGAATACGACAGAAAATTTCCAATCGATCGGATGATGATCGAAAACGTGATTGAAAAAACCTTACACTTAAACTTCCATGACCGATCTCACGCGTTTTAAGATTACTCCAAAACTATTCCAGCTACGCATCAGAGGTCGAAGTATGGTTTTTTCGAAGGTATGAGTATAAGCTATCGAAGAGTGTTAAAAAACCATCTATTTTTTGAAAGTGTCACGCCGGTTGAGCACCTTAAATAATTCGTTGAATGAATGCGTTAAGTCCTCTATGGAGTATCATTTGCAAATTCATTTCGTTCTTTATGAAATGCAATTTGAGATCAAGGCTCCTAAATGAAAATTTGCTCATAGAAAAGTGTTGCGAGATTATATTAATATCTTTTCCGGGATACAGACTAAATGAGTGAACATTTCAGTTGAGAAGAGTAGTGACTAGCCGTGTTCGATCTTCACCTTTTATATTACAGCTTTAAATAAAGCGTTAATCAGCTGCTGAGCTGTACACAGTTATAGATTTCTGTCGGTTGATACAGTTTGCTTGGACATTGAGTGAATTGAGTAACAAAAAAGTGACGACTGAAAAGCGATTTGAAATATAGATTGCTACAAATTATACATATATATAATACTGCTAGAAAAGAAAAGGAACCGAAATATGCTTCCGGAAATATAAAGTAGTGGAAAACGCTTTTCAACTATTTCTGGCGTAAGTTTCTCGAGCTTTGTACCGCCTGAGCCTTTTAGAAGATTTCCCGTGTAAAATTTCAAAATAGCAGTTTTAATTGTAATTTTGACAGAATCCACAGCCTTATTGGCAATGTTGCCCACTCGACTATAATTCACAAAAAAAAAAAATGTTTTAAGAAATATACATATGTATGTATGTATGTCTGTACAAAACAGGCTAAGAGAATGAGTTCAATTGGAAGTTAATGAGGACCTAACACTTTTTCTTAGGCTAACTAGATAAAAGCACATTCATTTCTTTAGTCAAGGTATCGTAGCTGAATTTCCATGTATGATTCCGTCAATTTTCATGTAAAATGGAGCTGCTGCCGTTTGCTTCTACAGAAAGTGGGTGATGTGTGTTCACAAATTAATAATATCTCCTGACATTATACACTTTAAAAAAGTCTTCATTAGAGACTACGCTGTTGTGCCAGCGCTTCTTTCAGACTCCGAAACTTCTACTTCTTAAACTCGGTATTTAAGTTTGCCTTCACTTCGTTTAGAAATGCGCTTTGAATATCATCTTCAGCAACAAACAAAGAAGCTTAAAATATCGGTTATCATGTTAAACTGTTTGAATATTTACAAAATAAAAATATTTTCATCTCTTTTTTTTAAAATCATTCTTGGTTTTGGATACCGCTTCTTAAGAACCTATTGTTACGAAAATGAGCTTAACCATTCAAAAATACCATTTAGTAGGTCAACTCTGCTCCTTAACGTGGTATTTTTTGTCAGTTTAATTACAACTTATTGTAACTGTGTAAATACCATTTGAATTTTCATTAAGAAATGTTTTTTTTTTAGCACACGGTTGATTGCTTGAAGTAGTTGCCGAGGGTCCAAACGGACCCGTTGTGATACCACTGAGAATCCTATTGATCGACACCCACTACTCAAACCAATTTGCGGAGTCTGCAGAAGTGGTCAGTCGCCGCATCTTAGCCCCCACTTTATTATTACACTCAAATCTCCAAAGGTCACCGCCCTTAGATATTTCAAATTACTCATCCAAAATGCGAAACATTCGCTGAGAAAGTGCTTTTACGTTTCAGCTTATTTTTCTTGTCTGCAATACTTATAACTGTAGATATCCTCTTTCTTTTTAGCTCGTTAAGATCATTTGACTTTCTTTTGTTCCTTTCTGGTCACAAAGTCCTGATCACAAATAAAAAGCTAATTTTAATTGAGCTTACTTTGTACATCCATCACGTTAAGTGTTCTGAGAATGTTCGTATCGATTTTACAGTTACAGATTCCAGTCTTAATGAGGCCTGGCTATCCGAAAACATAGGGATACGAATTTCTGAGAGCAACATTGAGCTGAGACAATTGACAGTCTCACTAGCTTTTAGTAAGCACTTCCGCCATAAAGACACTATAGTAAAACGGTAAGGGAAAGCATTTGCAAATACCAGTATTCTTGGAGTAAACTCCGCCACCGTTCCTGTTATCTAGTTTTTGACCCATCCGTATTAAAAAAAAATCCCGTCCAGCTATCTTCTTAAGATGTTAGTCTGCTTGTAGCTTATTACTATCCATTCAGACAACTCTTGTAGTCCTACCGCGTCGCAAGTAGCATTGTGCAGCCCCATAATTTCAATGGGGAGTAGATCGAAAACGAAATTCATAGCCCCAGTTCGTGTGGTATGAATTGCTCCGCTAATGCACAGGAGCGCTGTCCTCTGCACTCTATCGAATTCAGAGATAGTTGTTTTTTTGCTCGAGTGCTGGCCACCAGACTACAACCCCGTAGGGAAGTATAGGCCTAACAACTATAATATAAAGCAAATGCATTATTTTGGGCGCCTATCGCACTTTTGCTGGTATCCTTTGCTCTGAGTTTTACGACAAGGTTAATTTCGTGCCCGGAATGAGTTCCAGGTGCTTTGGAGGCTCAGTAATGGTGAAAAGAACAAGTTCTGTTTTCTGTGGGCCGATGTCTAATCCAGCGTAAATATCCTACTTTTCTCATTTTGGTTTAGCACTTTTAACCTGTTGATCAGCATTTCAGTGGCTTAAGGGGTTTTTTTCAAAATTCACCATTTCTCAATATACATATGAGGGTTAAATCCAATTGTAGATACTGTGGCACATTCAGTTAAATATTTTTCTCTTTAAATTGTCTCGTAGAAGCTGTAGAAGCTTAGGCTCGAATTTTTATTTTAACTCACCCAAGTATAGTTTTATAGAAAAGTTTTATGATTTTTAATTCAATTATTTATTTTACTTCGTTTTACTTTAGTTTCATTAGTTTAGTTCATTAAGATTTTCATTTCTTCAAATACCAATTTTTTAGCTTAAATACCGTTAATGCTTGTCATGAAATTTCAAATAGTAGCTGTTGTTGTTATTATAAAAAAAAAACAATAAATTGCCTGTCTCTCTTTCGATTGTTTATCCAAATTCGTTAAAACTAATTGCATAATTTTTTTCTTTCTTTTTTCCTTTCATTTCTTAAAAACAAAATAAAAAACCAAAAAAAAACGAAAAAAAAAACTTTGCAAACGCGATTAATTGTTGTTGTTGTTTTTTAAACAAATACAATTTTTTTTGAAAATAAAATAAAAATTGAAATAAATGTATTTTTAAATTAATAATATTCACTTAATTTGTATGTGAATGCTAACATAAAACTATATACTCGTACACGTACTTCTATGTATGTACACATGCATGTGTACGCGTCGTTTGTGCATTTAACAAAATAAAAAAAAAACACGCCTTTTCTGTTCTATGCTTACGCTCGTGTCTTTTGTTGCACATTGCTGTTAAAAAAAAAAAAAATATATATATATATATAAATAATTATATATTAACCGAAAAATAATTGAAAAAAAAATTTTAATTTGAAATTCAAATTGTCGATGAATTGTTGGTTGAAAACATCCAATATCAAATACATACATACATCTTGTACTACATATATATTGCTTGTCTTGTTTGCGAATTGCTTTAACACATCACATCTTCATTAAATTACACATACAAATACACAAACACATCGCACAAATATTTTAATGAAATCGGAATAAAAAAATCCGAAAAAAAATTTAAATAAAAAAACTGCAGGATAAGACCAAGTCGAAAAAATCGAAAAAGGATAAAAAGTGCAAAGCCGAAAGTGTCGAAACAACAACAAAAAGAAAATCCAATAAAAAGAAGAACAAAGTTTCCGCTTCACTGCCCCTTCCCACAGCCACCAGCCGCGAGATTAAAGCCGCAAAAATCAGCAACAGCAAAATGGCGAACGCAGTCGCCAGCCCCAAACCCATAGACACGACGTCCAAGCGAAAGCACGACAGCACAGCCTCAGAAGTTGCAATACCAGCCGCTGTTGACCAACCAGCAAATCGAAAATCAAAGAAACCTACGAAAGTAGCAAGTGCACAACAAGAGAATGCTCTGCCCGATATAAGCACACCGGCAACGCCATCATCGCGTTCCAGGTATCAACGCAAAGCCAAAACGCCAACCGGCGGCTACGTGATCAGTTACGTGGAGCCACCCAGTCCGAATAGCGAGGATACACCTGTGGAGGAGGAGTCGTCGAGTAACAGTAGCAGTGTTGAGGCACGGAGAAACTCAGTGGTAGCGACAGCTGATATGATGAGCGGTGTGCAAAACGATGCCACACAATCAGCGCAAGCAACAACCAACCAACCAAAGTCGCATAAACGCGCCAAATCACACAAACACAAGAAGAGTAAAAAGAAGAAGCGCGAAATGGAGGCGATTAATAATGCCGAAAGGGAATTGGCATTGGCGTCTAGTGAAGTGATGGCTACAACGGCGCGCTTGAATGGCGTAGTGATCGCCACGAGTTGCATTGAAAATGACAACGGCGAGAAGGCGAGCGCCGAGTCCTATGACGATGATGAGCATACGAGCAGCACGAAACCGCCCTTAACCACAACAATAAAATTCAAAATGAAAGTACAAAATGAGTCCAGCACGAAGAAGGCGAAAAGTTCGAACAGCAAAAAGCACAAACGACGCAGATAGAAAATGCTTGAAAATAAGCATGAAAGGCACAAGGAACAAATTTTATTCTAAAATAAAATACCAAAACCAAAATACAAATCAAGAAAAGTACAAATTCGATATTCAAATACTCGGGGCCATTATTTTCACACTTTACAAAATAATACTCGTTTATATTTCACATAAATATCTTTTCATTATCTGAAATCTCTTATAGTAACAACAACAGTAATTAGTTTAAGTAAAGAAAAAGAAAAAAAAAAAAACAACAAACATAGCGTTCAAAAAAGCATATCAAAACATAAAGAAAAAAGAAAACAACAATTTAGGTAACTGCCACAAAGTCGTATATCTGTATGTATGTGTGTGTGTGTCCACTCTACTCGTACACTTGCCAGTGCAACTACACGAAAAACAACAAATAACAAGAATCTCTTCTTCTCCTACCACGCATCTTCTACCCGTTGTTGCTCTTCTGCCATTTACACAAACAATTACAGTATTGCCAATTCTGTACATCCGGTGAGAATGAGGATAAATTGCTGCTGTGCGACGGTTGTGACAAAGGCTATCACACCTATTGCTTCAAACCGAAAATGGACAATATACCCGACGGTGATTGGTACGTACATAAATTCAACACATTCTTATATTTATTTATTACATACATATACATATATATATCTTCTTCTTCTTTCAACTCTAAGATTTTTCGAATCGCTCTTATCATGATTTCATTAAGGGGAAACATTTCCACTGTCTTATAATTATCCCATCGAAGTTAAGAAATATTTTCTTAAAGCTGTCCGTTCCATGTTGAGTTTTGACTTTTTGTTTTTAATCAGGGGTGCGGTATATACCTCTCTACGGAATCGACTCAAGGTTAGAATGTGAACCTTTTTCAAAGTCCATTGGAAGTAGAATGACTTCTGTAGTAAATAATAAGTCTGCGTACTAAAATCCGTTGGATCGCGGTTGTGATTCCTGACCAGATCAACATCTAAAATTACGGAAAATTAATTTTTCTCATTTCTAATAGCCTTCGACAGCACGAAAAGGTGCTGCCTCTACATCGCTATGTCTAAATTTGGTATCCTCGCAAAACTTATACTACACAGCCGACCCAACTGACCCTAGAAAACACCAAAAACTCTATTAGGAATGAGAAGGACCTCTCCGAGGTTTCAGACTAGGTGATTTCTGCTCCTGGGACTTCTTTGGTTTATCGCTCGAGAAAAAAAAACGACCTTCAGAGCTGCATACAATCTTCTATAAAAGTTTTAAGCTGCTGGCGTATGCTCTCCAGACTCGTTAAGGAAGCGAAGGATATGGCTCTGGTAGTGAACGAGGGCAAGACGAAATATCTCCTGCCATCAAACAAACAGTCCTCGAATTCGCGACCCGACTTCCACTACACTGTTGACGGTTATTACTTTGAGATCGTAGATAACTTCGTCTATATAGGCATCAGCATTACACCAACAACAATGTCAGCCTGGAAACCCAGCGCGGAATCACTCTTGTCAACAGGTGCTACTTGTGGCCATTCGAAAAGTAAAGTACTTTCTCGTCTTGCTGTATGGGACGAAGACAACATCTGATGAGTCGGCGTTAAGAGTTTTCGAGAGAAGGGTTTTGCATAAGATTTATGGTCCTTTGTGCATTAGCAACGACGAGTATCGTAGATGATGGACGACGGCTACATTGACATAGCTTAGCGAATTAAAAAGCAGCGGTCGCGCTAGCTAGGTCATGTGATTCGATTGGACACACTACACGCCGGTGTAAGCAAAGGAGCAACATTCCTTCCGCTAGAAAGACCAGCTAGAGAAGTACCTGGCTGCACTTGGTATTTTCAATTGACACCAAACTGCGAAAAGACCAAATGAATGGCGCAATGTTGCTAACTCGGCTATAATCCGACGTAAGCGGCGTCTACAGTAGTAACTAAGTAAAGAACTGTGGTCGCCCCACGGTAGGAAATGTCAATCTCCATTTCTGACATAAATAAAAGCATCTCATAAAAATCCCTTATCCGCTTGGTGGCGGCTTAGAATAAACTGTAAGTGGTCCGACTATTTGTTGGAAAAACTTCAACCGGCACACCACAAATTGGAAGAGGAGCTTAGCCGAAAATCGCTTCAGAGTTTATATAGCTCTAAATAAAATATATAAATATGAGACCTTTTGACGGAGTTTTGAAGATTAGTTGAGTTTATCTAACAAGAAGCTCAGGAAACGAGTTTTTTCGACCACAAGGAAGAGAGATGTTAGATGAGACGGTCATGTCGGTGGAAACATTCAAAGCGGCGGGTAGTGTCGTGCAAGGCATATTTTGGATATCTTGGAGGCTTATCGTCTGTGTTCGACTTGCAGTAAACCCCACTTACAGGGAGAATTTCGGTGGACAAATTTAATCTTTAGGAAGGACATTCAAACCGTGAAGCTAAGACGACATGACGTGTAGGTTTGTGTTTTCTGACAGGTCATTAGCTTATACCGATGCATCGGAAATACGCTTCTTATATAGCATATACATATGTGTGCACATATACATACATATATATATCTACAATGAAATCTTTTCGTTTGTTTAATTTGTAACATTTCATTTATTACTTTCCTTCATTATACACCTCCTTCCAGGTATTGCTATGAGTGCGTTAATAAAGCGACAAACGAACGCAAGTGCATTGTCTGCGGCGGCTTGAGACCTTCGCCCGTGGGCAAAATGATCTATTGCGATTTGTGTCCGCGTGCTTACCACGCCGATTGTTACATACCGCCTTTGTTGAAGGTACCACGTGGCAAGTGGTACTGTCACAGTTGCATCACGAAGGCGCCACCACCGAAGAAACGAACCAGCAGTAAGCCCAGACGTGACCGTGACTCATCGAAACGACGTGATCGCCATAGCAATTCATCGACGTCATCCAATATTGATATATCGCAGCAGCAACAACAACAATTTCAGCAGCCACATCACCAACAACAGCAGCAGCAGCAGCAACAACAGCAACAGCAAGCGCAGCTGCATCAGCAACAACTACAACAACAGGCTGCGGTTCTAGCGCAGGCGCAGGCCATGGCAGCTGCCTCGGCGGATCACCACCTGCACAATTCATCACAGCTATCGCTGAATTCGTCGCATGACGAGTCGATGACCTCGTTACCGACGCCGCTCAGGTAGGTCGCTCAGGCAGCGCCGCATGTCACGCCTGACGTTACTAACCCGCCTCTGGTATTTGCAGTCCGGCGCATTCGATTGCCTCCACCTCATTTGATGAACATCACAATAACTCAATTGATGCGACACGTTTCCAGTATCAACAACAACAACAGCAGCAGCAGCAGCAGCAGCAAACGGTGGTGGGCGGTAATCCTGCTCTCCCAGCAGCTGTAGGTATAGGTATAGGGGCTGGTGTAAGTATTGGCGCTCCATCCACCAACTCGCAAGATGTCAGTGCCGCATGTGGCAGCACGCTCACCACGTTTAACAACATACATGGCCAACATTTGACGAACAATGACTACGTGGCAATAGACGGCAACCTCGATGGCGCTCCGGCAGCTTCAGTTGCTTCAGTTATTCCACTAACCAGCGGTGTCCTGCCACTAGCGCCACCAAATTTCAATAGCGTTGTACCAAATCCGACCAACACAAGCTATGTGACGCCGCAAACGCAGCTGCCGCAAACTCAACAACTTGTTCCACTGATTGCTGGTGGCAGTATGACTCCAACTTTACCAATAGTAAGTACGGTTGCAGGTGGCACAGCTACACTGCCACCCAACTACATGCCCTTAACAGTCAGTCAACAGCAGCATCTCGCACAACTACAATTGAACAGTAACGGCGCCGTGCCACTACCGCCGCCACCATACAATGCGGCCACACAATCCCCATTGCCCCCGCCAACGCTATTACCACCCACGAGCGCCGTCAACATATCGCCACAACCAGTCACATCATTACCACTCATTTTGCCGCCAACTACCATACCAACCCTGGGCCAACCACAGCAGCCGCAATTGTCGCCTTTGCTGCAGCCACCGATTTTGTCACCCCAGCATAGTAGCAATCACACACCAACGGCGACAATGCAATCGCCACGTGCCAGTACCCCCACACAGCACTCACCCCAAACTGTTGGACATCATTCGCAGTCGCAATCGCCAGCTGCTCATCAATTTGGTGGCCTGTCACCGATGACATCATCGCCCATGAGCCAATGTGGTACACCACAACCGCCACAGCCATTGAACATACATGCGGTGCAGGAGGCGAAGGAGAAGTTGAAGCAAGAGAAGAAGGAGAAGCATGCAACGAAGAAATTGATGAAGGAGTTGGCCATTTGCAAAACATTGCTGGGCGAAATGGAGGTAAGCTGGAGGGGTGGGGGCATTAATATGACATATGGTTATTAACATTCAATACTTTACAGCTGCATGAAGACTCGTGGCCGTTTTTGTTGCCAGTAAATACCAAACAGTTCCCTACATACCGTAAGATCATTAAAAATCCCATGGACTTATCTACAATCAAGAAACGCGTACACGACTTGACGTGAGTATTTTTTATTTTTTATTTTTTTTGTATTAATCTTCATTATGAGTTTTGGTATTAACTTGACATGCTTATCATTTTTTAGAAATTAATTTCCTATATTCTCAGTTAATATTGTATTTTTAAATGACTAATTATTTATTTAAGCCTTTCGAGTTTTCTCAGCTTATAATTTTCGCCTCATAAACCTTGTATGTTTTTATATAGTTTTTGGATTTTGTAGTGGCTCGCTAATCCTGTTTAGTAGTCTAGTTTACAGAGGTCACCGAGGAACCGAGAGTCTTCTACGAGTTCGAACCAAAGGGAAAGCGGTGTTAAATGCGTCGGTTTAGGATTAGGGAAGAAGGTGTTAGTGTCGTTCGGGGCATGTGTTGAGTATGGTGAATTAGAGTCTGCATAAGCTGAACCTTAGCATGCTCCAGACCTAAATTTGCTTAGAATTTCTCGGGTCTCACGTAATAGAGCTGGGAGGAAGGTTTGTTTAAAAGCACTTTAGCAGATACTCCTTTATGCTAGGATTTATCTTAAGCGAGAAAATTGTTGATTCCCATTACAGCATTCAAAGCAGTGTTTTGGCAAGTCAGTTATGTTATTATTGTTGTTGTAACCGCAGTGTATTCCCCGAATGTTGCGCGAGTGATAGTCCAGATCGGCGCAGTGCAATCTATGACCAATAGTCGATTGATTGCCTAGTAAGTAGCAAGCAATGCTTTTTTAATGACAAAGACTTGAGATCGCATGCAGAGTAGCGAATGTCGCTCACAGCTTCTTTGCTGACGATCGAAATGTACAGAGCACAACTTTGAATTTGTCAGGTTAAGCCTGGCGGATGAGAATCTTAAATGTTTGACACTGAGAAAGAAATATGGTTGAGTTTGACTTCGAGTCATGGTCCACTACTTCAAACCAGCGCTAATAAGGAGACCTCGGTTGTACCTGCTGACTTAAACGCGGCTAGGTCGCCGAAAGGAAGACAGCCCTTGGCCGAATAAAATCCGTGTCAACTCCGCTGCGTAGAACCTTTCCCTTGGCCCGAATCCGCCGACCCAGCTCTTTTCTTGTATCTCCCGTTAGATGACCTCGATGACTTCGACTGATCGTGCGTGGTCCTAAGCGGGGCTAGAGAACCGTTACAATAACATAACAACAACAACAGGAGACAACAATGTTACCTGTTGACCTAAAGGGGGTTAGGTCGCCGAAAGGATGATATACATTGGTCGGATAACTCCGGTGCATGGAAACAAGATTTGATCTCGATATCTCCGACGTATTTCCGGCTTGCAATGAGTCACCGCTCTTCTAAAACCAAATAATCGCACAAACTTTTCCTCCTGGTCCAACCCCGTCGAAGCAGATCGTTTTCTGGACCCCCTGTTAGATGAACTCGATGACCTAAACTGATTTCGCCTGTTCCTAAGCTGGACTAGACAGCCGCTACAACAACAACAACAACAAGAGGGTCCTGATTGTGTGATGTGATGTCTGATAGTAACACTGCTCGATTGACCGAGTGAACTAATAAGGTTCGAGTTCACAATAAATGATGTTGGTTTATGAATGGAATATCCCTTCAGCCCTCCCTCCAATGAAGTAATTGTCTCAATGAATTTTCAAGGTCCCAGTATTCTTATAGTAACAACGCGTCGGATCCGAATTGAGTTCGGTGTATGAGAATCTCAAGGTCTTGGGTATCTCATATGGAGTTCGTTTGAGTACACAAAAGGAGAGGTGATTTGAAGTTTTAATGATTTTCGGTCTGTTATAATGCACGCGGGGTGCCTTTATATGAATACCGCACACCGGAGGAGCAAATTTTAGATAAGGTTGGTAGGGATAGCTTTTGTATGTTGTCTGAAGGTTAAGCGTTGCTGTGTAGTTTGTAAAACCCAAACAATTTCAATTTCTTTTTAATTTTTTTTTTAATTTTATTTAATAAATATATTTAATTTTTTTAAATTGCAGCTCAATTATTTATTTTTAATTATTTTTTTTAGTGATTAATACTTTATTTATTTCTTATGTTGTTGCATGCAACATCGCTACATAATTTCCCCCTTTTTTTATTTCTCCCGCCCACCAACAGCTATAAGAGTCGCGAAGACTTCTGCGTCGACGTGCGCCAAATATTCGACAATTGTGAAATGTTCAATGAGGATGATTCGCCCGTCGGCAAGGCGGGTCATGGAATGCGCAAATTTTTCGAATTACGCTGGGCTGAGTTAACGGATAAGCATTCATGATATCAAATACATCACCACCTCAAGTATTCTAGTGATTAAGAAAATATAAAAAACAGCAAAAATTCGAATGGAAAAAAGCAAAAAAAAATTTTTTTTGAAGCGGTGCATTGCAGAAAACAACGGAGATTTGAAAAAATAATACGAAAAGTGAAAAAATACTATGTGAAAAATTGCAAAAAAAAATTTAATTCAATTGGAATTTTTAAATATTCAAAACAAAAAAAAAGGAAGAAGAAATTAAACACTTATTCGAAGAATAAAAAAAACAAATTTCGGCACTTAATAGAAACATACATACATGCATTTTGGCTAAAACATATTATTATGATTAATTGAAATTCCAATTGGAGACACTGCGCATTTGGAGAATAAGTAAGTGAGCAGTCACAAAACAATAATATAAGCAGAAGCTTGTTATAAAACTATCAGTAATGTGGTATTTATTAATATACATACATATACATACACATACATATACATAGTAGTTGATTAGGTAAAAATGTTGATAATAACGTATTGTATTATTTTCAAAAAAAAAATAAATGTAACGAAATACATATGTATGTACATATATCAGCAATCATGTAAAGGCTAATATAAAATCATATGAGCAAAATAAATATTATATAATATATATGTATGAAATATATATAAAAATAAAAAGAAAACAAATTAATTTTAAATTAAAGAATTTTTGTGTAGTTGCAATGCAGTGCAAGTGTAGATTAGAGCTGGTGTGAGCCAAGACAGTGTGTAAATATACATATATATAAAAGTATATATACATATGTATTTGAACATTGAAGAGCATATTTTTCTTATGCAAGCAAGGATGCATTTTAGATTAATGCTTAATTTCTAATAACTTTTCTCAATAACTCATAAGCGCATAAAACTCAATTATTCACCATACGCTCGCAAGTATAGACATTTTGAAAGTATTTAAATTTTTTTTTTAATATGTTTTCAAATTTTTTTTTTTTTTTTTTTTACTTAAAAGACACTTCTATTCTACTTTTGGCTCACACTACTTGCAGTTTCAAATAGAGGGCGCATTATAAATATTATATTTTGAATTTTCAATTACAACTTAACTCATTCAAACATCAACAATACAGTTAACTATTGTTTCGTTTATGAATTTTTATTTTTGAAAAAATTCAAAAAAAAAAAAATACTCGAGAGATTTTGTTTCTTTTAAGCTAATTTGCTTTTGTATATTTTTGAACACATTTTTTATATGCTAATATTTTTTTGATTTTTTAAATCAACACACAAGCAAACACGTACACTACTCACTGACACCGTCAGTTGTATATACTTAACAAAAATCCATATAAAAACATTTCAATTAAAAAAAAAACAGCTTTTTGCATTAAATTTAAATTAATGTACTCATACATACATACATATTTATATACATATATATATAATATATATATACAATATACTGCATGTATACAACAATATACACCCAACGAAATCAAGTATATAAAAATGCATAATAAAAATAATTTAAAATATACACACATGCATACATACATGCATGTTAGAGAAGAAGAGGAGGAAGAAGAAAATAGTTTTAGTTGACATTAGTAGCGAATACTTTTAAGCGAATATAATAATGATAATGATGTTGATGATGTTGATGATGATGTTGATGATGATGATGATGATGGAAAACATGAATTATATTAATAAATAAATAAATAAATTAAAAAAACAACAACAAATATTGTAGAAACGAAATTGAATTAAAATATAACTGAAAGTATTTTCAAAACTCATTCAACTGCGCTGAATGAAACAAAAACACAGTGAACAATTATCATATAGTTTGACACAAGCCAGAAAAAAAGTAATAAAACAAAAAATTTACATACATATACATATATTAGACGTAAAACACTACATTTGAGTATTTTTTAAATTTAAAATTAAATTTAATTAGTTTAAAAAACAGTTTTAATTGAAAATTCTAACACAAGAACAAGAAGCAAATAAAAACTAAACAAAATCAAATTTAAGAAAAACACGAAAAGCAAAAGAAAACATAATAAAAAAATCGTAAAATGATTAAATGAAAATAAGCAAAAAGAAAAAGCATAAAAGAAGGGAACGTACAAAAAAAGGCATACAACTTTTTACGCTATAAAATTGTCCATACACACAACAAAAACAACAACAGCATTAACACAATAACATTCGTAAATGACACCAACAAAACCAGCTGCAGCATTTTCCTTAAATACAAACACACTCACATATATATACACAAAAGTAATGGCAACTCAATATATAATATATATATATATATATATATATAAGCATGTAAAATAGCAAAAAACTGTTAAAAAGGAAATTTCAAAGAAATAAAATGCTCCCAAAATGCATTAAAATTTCAATAACACACATGCACACAAAACTACAGTATTTTTTTAAATGAATTTTTATTACAATTTGTTTAATTTAATTTATTTTTTTTTTTAATTTTTAATAAGTTTTAATTTTTTCATTAAGAAAAAAAAAGATAAACATGAAATTTTAATAATAAACATATGTATTTTAAGTAAATTTAATGAAAGAATTATTATCAAAAAAATAATAAAAATAATAAAAATGAAAAATGAATATAAATGAATATAAATAAAAACTATCAAAGCAGTAGTGTAAAAAGTGAAAAGCAATTCAAAGCAAAAATAAATTAAATACTACTGTTCAGCACTTGTAGCGCAACGATTTTGCTTTTTTCTTAAAAAAAAAAAACAAACAAACAAACAAACAAAGCGCGCAAATTAACACACACACCGTGTGTGTGTCTGTGTAAGTGTGTGCGCACGTGCGACGTGCAAATTGTAAGAAATACAATTTTTGTGAATTTTATTGTAATTCTGTTTAGCATTAATATTTTTAATATTATATTTATATGTAGTGTGTGAGATAAAATAATATTTAAATACAAGCAAATGAGCATATTTAAATTTGTATGTATGTTATCGTAATGTAATACTAATTTTGTACTTAGTTTTGTAATTTTTTTCTCACTAAGTATTAGTTTAAGTTGAAATCCTAATTTCTGTAAGTTCATAAGTAAACAAATAAGATATAATAATAATAATAATTATAATAAAAGTAAAAATAAATTAATTGAAATATAAATACATAAAAACCTTGGGTGTTTCAATTTTTTTATCTTCCATTTTTCTACGAGACGCTGCTGATAAGTTTGCAGAATAGAGTACTCCAGGGAACCCTCCCTTGATTTTGGATTAAGAAATCGATTTCTTTATGCAAAAAAAAAAAATGAAAGTCATATTTGTAGATATTAGAGGAACCGATTTCCAGACCGACTAAAAACAAACGCGCAGAAATCCGTTTGACGACTTTATTCATTCAACATCACAAAGAGACAACAAACTTAGCGTAAATCTAATATCTGTACATTTTTCTTATTTTCTAAAATTCATGGCATACTATTTTAAATCAATGAATATGTGATTTGTTGTATTCATACATTTCAAAGTGTTTACATTTGAAGTATATTTCAACAGTAGAATATGTGTTTGAAGGAATTTGGCAATACGATGAATACTTATCAAAAAGCAGCTTCTCGAACACACCTGTCTCACGCACTTACGCATGCAAGGCGAACTTTCAAAAAACTTTGAACGCGTTTTTCTCAAAACCATTTTTTCCGATCTCACTTCAAGCCCCCTGCTTGATCTATCCGCCCGATTTCTTTTATCTAAAAACTGTTTCAAAGTAAATCGTTTTTTTTTTGTACGTCTTGAACCTAAGATTAGCTTTAATAATTAAATATTTTTATTTTTTGAACGTAATTATGCAACAAAAATTTTAACTTTATAATTGCAATAAGCATAATGCAATAAATTTAGCGTTAAAATTTTTTCAATTGCGGTTCAGGACGTAGAAAATTTCATATTCTTCAAGTAATGATTAAGATTTTTGATTTCAGCCTACTACAAGCGGCTGTAGGCTTGAAGTTTTTCGAGCAGTGGCCGACGGAAAGCGCTATTTTGTTGGCGTCATTTTGAATTTCGACCCCTTTTAAAACCTCAAATAATAAACAACTTTAATAGTCACTCTTCCACAACAATATACAAACTTTGCCCAATATCAGTGGAGGGTCTCTTTAAGGAGTAAAGCCACTCTAGAGGTTGAGATATAGACTAATTTTTAAAAATTTCTTGTAGGAATATTGGAATTTTTATTTAACCATTTCATTGAATATATATATTGAAGCATAAGAAAATATTCTTTAACTGTTACTTTGTTACAAAATGGCGGTGCTAAAGTCCATTATTTAGGGACTATAAGGAGGACCGATTTCTTCTAAAGTATGAGACCTAGAACAGAAAAGCAAGAGTTTTATGATCTATAAACTATGGTCTTTGGAGCTACGCACGAATTTATTTTTTAACTAATTTTCTTCTTCTTTAAAAAGTTAATTTTTTTGCTAAAAAAATACGCACTAAATTATTAAAAAAAAGTTTACATTTAATCCAAAAACGGCTAAGAACTTAAAAAAAAATGTATATAGAGTCCAAATAAACTGTCCTACCAGTTTAAATTTTCCCATTGTACACGTACTCTGCGCGCGCTCTGAGGGGCTGCAGCAAAATAAAAAGTTCAGCTATTTGAAACATTTTTATTTGTTTCCTTTTAAAACCAATGACATATGATTTCTAGCAACCAAAGATACCCTGTAAGCAAGAAAAAATCCAAAATCCTAGAGTTGCTTTACCCCTTAAACAAAAGAAACCAATATTAAAATACGTTCTTTGGTTGAGGTGAATGATTAATATACGTTCTTTGGCGATATTGCCTTTTTGCCAGTTCCTAATTGGGTTGCGTCTTCAATTTTGACTGGTTCCTCCTCGGGTCTTGTATGTGATAAGCGATCCGACGTGACTTAACATTTGCGCCTTCCCATTATATTAATATTCTCTGGTTTGTGTTTGATCTTACCTGAGCTCACCACCCTGACATGAGCAAGAAATTTATGGTAACCAAATTGATTATCTCTGACTGTCCCAAAATAGATAAATATTTGAGCACAGGGCAGCACCATCACATTTTAGCAAAGTTATACACCATTAGCCTAGTCTGTAACCCGTCATTAAAAGAAAATAATTAATTTTACAGGGTATTCAGTGTAAATA